AAGAAGGCCAGAGAAATAAGCAACAGAAGACATTTATTTAGACTTCTTACTCAAATAAACCGGGGAAAATAATGTTAACAGTTAGTGAGAAGACAACATAGAAGGACGCATCTGCGACTTGCTCACAGTGGAGACAACTGAAACGATAGGTAGAATATTATGAGTAAAGATTCAACTGACGTACAACTTCTATTCTGTTCCCCACTTACTGATTGGATCCTGAAAGTAACATGAGATAGGATCCCTAACACTTACGGAAGTCCGGAAAGCTACAAGCAATCTGAAATGAAGGAGAGCAGTAGAATATGTCGAATTAGTACCACTGGTATTTAACGACGGTGGCAGAGGACTATTGGCCAGGTTGACTGGATTGCTAACCACTGTATGGGAGTCAGATATGATCCCCTCTGACTGATCTCAATTATCAAATGTCTTAGTCTTCAAGACAGGCGAGAATTCATCTTGTGGGAACAACAGGGGAATCAGCTTGATGAACACAGCGTCCAAAATACAAAGTTTTACAACCATACGACGTTTGAGCGAAGGTTGGGAACAGCAAAGCCGGTAAAACCAAGTAAAATTCAGACCTGGTTGTGGGTGTACCGATCAGATATTCACCTTCTACTATGTCTTGGAATACAGACACACATACCACCATCCGACACTAGCTGTATTCCTTGACCTGAAGGGGGTGTTCGACTTCATCAATCGATAGGTCTTATGGCAGTGCTCCTCACTAAAAGGGGTAACAAGGACGTTAGTTACTCCATCATATGTTCAATATTCGGACAGCTGCAAGCATGTCAGAGCCTATGGTGATGTATCTAGTGACCTGTTAACATCGAATGATGTCCACTAGGATTGCATACTTACACAATTTGCATTCGGCTTTCATGTAATTGCCTATGGATGACCATTTTTCTTCGTCTGACTTTAGAAGGACTGACCTTGTTACAGAAGAATTCTTAGTAGATCTAGAGAAGGAAAAGGAGTCTTCTTAAATGATGTTGACAAGGAGCAGTCTTCTGGACATTTTAGCTGCCAATTTTAGAATTTTAGGATGCATTTCTCATTACTCAAATGCAAACTGTTACTTCAGAATCGGTATTCATTAATGTCTTGTCTAACAGTAAGGAATGCAGTAGTTGAGTGCATTGGCCACTTGAATTACCTTGTCGGATTAGTCATGATGCACTGGTCTATGATGGACGGAATCTCTACACGGATGCAAAAGACTCGATTGGCTTTCGTCAACTTACGCTATTTATGACGCCACCGCGACATACGATTTTCTATTAAGGATCGAGTGTACAACTCTGCAGTTCGCTTTGTTCTACTACATGTTTGTAAAACACGACCGTGAGAAGGCTTCAGGTGTTCAACTCCTATTACATTCGTAGCATAGGTCTTATGTCGTGGCGTCACCACGTCGATAACGTAGAAGTCAGGCGGAGAGTTTTAGGAAGGAGAGGAAATACGGTAGATGGGGTTGTGAACGTTCATCTGCGCACGTGACTGGAACATGTGTTAAGCATGGCTAGTCACCGCCTGCCCTGTCGCACAATGATACCTGAAGTAGGTTCAGGCTGTAAAATGCTACAGGCGACCAGATTAAAGCATGGTATCAGTCTATGAAGTCTTTGACTGTTGGTGTGAGCCGTGAGGGGGGTGTAGACTTTCCGGTTTCGGTTCGTATGACAACAGAAACAGGCGGTTGGATACTCTGGTTGATATGGCCCAGGATTGATTTAAGCAGCTCAGATAAATCCAGATGCTACCTTTATGTTGATCGTGATACTGAATCTTACCATATTTTTGTCCCTTTTTTATTTTTTTTTCTATGACTGTCTGCTACTTTTGACTACTCTCTTGTTCATTTCTCCATCTTATAACTTGATGTCTTCCATCTTGATGTTCTGGTATGAAATGCAACAACTTAGAAACCAAGATGCCACAATTACAAATCTTCGGACGTACTTGCAACATTGAATGGAGGACTCCAAAAAGCAATTTAGGGGGTTCCTGTTTTGAAAACTCCAACTTGGATTTACTGCGCATCATGGTTAGTTAGTACTAACCAATCTAACACGAAGTAAGGTTCCAAAAAGAATCCAAAGTATTTACCTCCGGCTCCTTTTAATGACGGAGGTGCGATTGTAGCCCCGGGACTGATTACATTGTTAGACGTATGACAGACTGTGTTACTTCACTAGGAGATGAGGCCACTGTTAAACCCAACTTTAAAAAGGGTAAATGTAACATGGGTGGTAATCATCATCAGGGAATCGGTCTATTACCAGTTTTGTCTATAGTATTAGCTGCTTTCATACTTTTCAAACTGCTCAAAACGGATGAAAATCTAACCCATCAAGAGTGGTTTACGCCTCCCTCAGGCTGTAGATGCACTGATCGCGTTTTCACCCCCTATCAGATGCTTAAACATCGTCACACGTATTCCAAGTTAACAATCTTTGTTTTCTGACATTAGAGCAACCTTCGGTTTGTTGGAAAGAGATGTGCTCTGGAATTATCTGCTAAAAAAGATTCCCTGACACGTTTTTCGACATTTTGAAAGCCTATACATAAACACTTCTAGTAGATTCAGGATGTATAACAACTTTCTCTTAATGTTCTAAATTAACAATCAGGTTAGACAGGCCTTTGCAATTTCGCCATCTGTATGCTTGACGCAGCTCTGAAGGTATATGGTGGTGGCACAGGCCTATTACCACGTGAGACTTCTTGACTTTGAGACAGTGAACGACTGCAGCTGTTCTACTATAGTCCTAATATGTAACAACATATAGGCTACTGAAATCGTATTTACTCAGTTAAAGATCAGTGTTTATAAGTATGCCACGTAATTCGCATCACAGAAATGAAAGGAAATCTTACATAGTTAGCAGGAGTTTGTGCCTCCCCCCACGGTAAGTAGTGAGCTATAAGGTTGTGGGTGGTTATTTAGGCTATCCACTTTCAACAAGTGAATCATGAGTTAGAATCCTACTCCACCTACTGAGTTATGATGAATCAGCCAATGCCATTAGCAAGCACACAGAAGGTATGGTTGGTAAGTTATGGAAGCTGATAAATCGTTGGAACTAGCAAATAACCTCGTTCATCTAGGTAGTAGTATGAGTACTGATAGAGATGGAGGTGCGAATGATGAAATCTTTAACCGCATATGAAAAGCCAGAACAGTATACACCAATGAGTCACCTTCGTTGCCACCTCAACGTTAGCCTAACTGTAAAAGATTGGATATGCAACGCTTCGATGTGGGCAGTTGCTTTCTATGCGTGTGAAACATCTTCGAGCTTAAGTCGCTGGATGACTTTCTGTGTTCGATCACCATCGTCTTCGAAGGATCACTTAAAGCCAAAGGAAGAATTATGTATGTATTCCTGAAGTTCAGCGCAGCCTGTTTGGGCATGATGGAAATCATTAATCGAGTTGTCTTGAGACATGTCTTAAACATGTTACTGTCACTTCAGTGGCTTTCATTCTGTTCACCACTTTTTAACCCTGAGACTGGAGGTGTATAGGTGCTAAGCGCATGACATAGTGCCACGGGATCAAGGACACTTATGTCAGTTTACCATCCTTCTGATGCCTAAAGACCCTCTGAATGGGACCCGAAAAATTATGTAACTCAGTCGGTGGCTTCAGACTGTATCATATGTGGCCGCGAATTGAAACCAGCAAGGACTATATTTTAGCCGTCTTGGTTACTATTTGTGAACAGAAGTACAAATGTGGTCAAAGTTTCTTCCAGACACGTGTCATGGAACCAACCATCTGATTACTAATTTATTTATTTATTGTCCGACCACTTTCTATTCTTCTGTTTTATATGGTTGTTATATATCGTGGTATGATGAATTTCTTTGGTGAACATATTATACCACATTTGTGTTCAAAAAAATAACGAGTAATTAAAAACAGATATTCTGGTGTAGAAAGAGTATGGATGAAACATGAAAATGAAACAATCTGCCTGAACATAGGCAGATATAAACTAATGAATTCACGGGTAGGAAATAAACGAAACTAAATATAATGTTTTTATTGACAATGTATAAATTTGGATAATGAGAAGTCTAAATGTTTGCGTAAAACATATTAATACTATCTACATAACCGAATCTAAGTGTATCAGAGTAAAACAGCATGATGTTAAGCTCAATAATACTCTAATTACATGGTATTTCAGTGACATCTACAAGTGGAATCCAAAATACGCATTCAGAATTTTTAAGCTGAATGTACTTGATGAGTGTAAGTATTTGCCGAAAACACTTGAATCTGGTACATATACTATAATGTCATTAAGCCATCATCTATGTTATCAAGTTGTGATAGGTGCCGCTCATTCTAGCACGATTACATATTAGTATGGTTTACGAATTTGCTGCTTAACAGACAGAATCTGAGCACTGACAGCTCTTTCAGTATTTTTCAACTTACTACATTTGTGCATCTAAAAACTATCTTGTCTACTTAGGATTAATTACCAACACTCAATTATGTGATCAATTCAAATATGAAACAAGGTTGGTGAAGGTAAGTGGAGAGGGCTGTAGATTGGGATTTACAAGTGAATACAAGCTAAAACTTAAGTACGTTTCACATCAAGAAAACATACAAAACTAACGGTTGCTAACTATGACCGTTTAAGTGGTGAGGTTCTGCACTAACACCAAGTGAGCCACATCTTTGTCAAGGCAACAAATAAATTTTAGAATAGTTTAATTGTGAAGCTGTGGCTAATTGGTTTGCACACACAATATTGAACTAGTGGGTTATAAGATCGAATACCCACTGAGATCTGGCCGGTTACTACAAGACTAGCCTATAAAAATAGACGGTTGATCATGAAGTACCGAAACCTGCAAATAATTGTCTGGTTATGCTTATTTCTTTCTACAAGGCTCATGACTCTTTTAAGTCTTTTCACTAATAATAAATAAAAGCAGATAACACTTTGAAGAACAACTAACCTCATAAAATTCTTTCGCATCGTTACGATGCTCTAGTAAGGCCAGTTTAAGAGACGTAGTTCGTCTTTCTAAGTTTGAGGTAGTAAAGCGATCATCGGAATTGAACGAAACAGAATTCGACTGATGCAGCAGACTGGATAAATCAGTAGAAACTGATGAAAGCATGGATTCAATATTATTAACCTGGGAGTATATGTTATTGATATGATCCTGTAGGCGTTTTTTTAGAGATTCCATAACTTCTAAGCGGCTACTGTCCTCTTCTGAAAGAGTATTTTGACGCGACAAGTGTCTCCCTGCATCGATTTTAAGATTATGTTCACTGGAATTACTATCTGGCCCAGAGATTGGACGGGAAAATGAAAGTTGTGGTTGAACATCTACAGGAGATCTGCAACCAGACCTCGATAAGGTGCGCTTGACTTTTATTCTTCGCAACTTTTCAACACAGCAATTAGGATTACCCAAATGGTCATTTGAACAAGATTGACTGGGACACTGACAGCTGTTTTGTGATACTGAATGAATGCCGTTTGGTTGAGGGAGAGCTGGCGAACTAGTAGTCTTGAGATCGAACTTTGATCGACCTTTTAAGTTAAATCGGAACGAATTTCGCAGACGACTATTTCCACTTTCTGATCGAGATACGGTATTAAACGCCGAGTAATCAGATTCGATCTCTAAAGAAAAACAAAACATACTCAATTAACTGAGACATACGTGATTACGGAGAAGCTTAAGCAAAGCTTTCACCTGGTGATATGAACGATTTTATTGAATGAGACCTTAAAGTCGGTATTTTTGTGAATTCGTTAAGTATAACCCTTAATGTCTAACATAAAGATAACTTCACACTTTCTCCATAGAGTGAATCAACCAGTTGTCTCATAACATACATAACCTTCCAAAACGTTTCACTTCGAATGTGTATTGACCGAAAATACAAATACTGACCGCAATATCTTTAAGGTTAACAGATACTTACACTGATGATTCCATCTGCATTCTTTTGATCGAAGAGTCACAGTAAGTTAACGTATCATGATAACGTTTTCATAAAATTGGATTTCGATTCGCTAAATACGTTGTTGTTTCGTAAAATTTTACTGCAGACGACAACGCAGGTCTAACCACTTTATCTTATACACAGTTTCTATTCATAATTAGCCAAAATGGAATGCTTGTTTTGCAATTTGGAGATTCGCAAAAACACATGATATAGCAGAGTCCGAATTCGCTTCACATCTTTCCTTCAGTTCCGCCTACCTATAAAATGGCTGAAATCTAGTTGAAACAGAATTTCAATACAAAATTAAAATCAAATCTACGACACATTTCGAGACTAGGTTATGAGTCGAACTTGGTGCGTGATAATCACTCATGGACAAAGGCTCCTTGCATATGCAACACCTGAAAAATTGTCGTGGTTCAGCTTGCATAAGCATTGCGACAGGATATCAACAACGGAGATGGATATAAAAGTGTCAGTAGTAATGATACAAAATAAGGTCATAAAATGAATACAAGACACCAGTATGATCAAAATTTAGTGGAGGTTGGAATTTGCATTCATCTGCACCAGAGATTGATTTTAAAACATATAACCTGGTCTCAAACTACTGTTTTAACCGACTATCGGAAAATAACTTCAAAGTTTACAGTATTATACAATCCAGTGTCTAATTCACACCAACAGCCATGCAAATAACATTTCCTATAATTTTCGTTGGAAATTTCATATAAACAAAGGGCATAAAAAAGCTCACTAAATACAATTTCACTAGTCATGTCTGTTAGGAAAAACACAAGGTGTCTCAACAGGAATGATTACAGCGTAGTTCAATAGTGACTCAGCTGTTCATAATTTAAAGCATAACCCGCTGAGCTGGGTTCGTTTTTTTTACTCAGCCAAAAAAGTCTTTCTCATGAGCTTTGATTGTACTTATAAAAATTTCAGTATAAAACCAATCGAATAGTTACCACTTAACGACAAAATCAGTAAACATAGACGATCTCAGAAGGACAAATATATTTCACTGCGTTTATCTTTACGGTATATCCTGCGTGTGGTAGAACTACCACTTGAGTGAAAGTGATATTTGATAGAAAACATGATACGAAAAAGGTAAGTCAGTGAATGAAGCCAAGAAATTTGATCGAGTGGGGTGGCTGTTCTCATAAAACATGAAGTGGTCCGAAAAAAATCGAATTGCACTCAATAACCACATGCATATTCATACAGCAGGCGATAAGACAGACATCTTGTGTGCAGGTTAGTCATACTACCTGACTCTTCAGACCTCGATAGGTGGAGTGTGGTCCAAACCCATGCCCCACTGGAAGTTGTGCCCAGACCAATAAACTACAGCTCCATGTGCGGCCGCCAAGAGGTTTAGACCATATTTATCTGTATATTATTGCTCGCATGGAATGGAGTCACTACGACAGCAATGCTGATGTAAGGTGCATAGTACTAAGTAGGGAACACAAGTCACTCGATAGCCTCAAACCTTCAGCGAATCACACTCCTGAGGTGCATACCAACACACTAGCTACCTTGACATGAGGTGCTGGTCGAAGTAGGACTAAGCCGGGATAAGGATAGGAGCGGTAAAGTTAGGAAGAAGTATTATTCCATTACGTTTCTTAATTCCAGTTTGAGTTGCGAAACAAAGTGCAGATTTTCGTGTTACGGTTTGAAATACCACCGATATCGACGGCTGGAAACTAAGTGACATAACATATGAACCACCTAAATGATGCAAAAACTGCGCTATATTACTAATTAGATCTTGGAAATAAGATTATCGCGAGTCTTTATCCCCTTCACCACCAGTCCTCACTGTTTAATGTCTTTTTATGATAGCTGATAGTATATATATTTATTTTTTTACATCCGATTGTGGCTTTCTTTGTGATTTTCTAATTTAAAGCATTTATATTGGGTGATACTGTCTGTCACTAAACAATTCAGGATCTGTTACGACTGTGCAGTGCTTTAGTTGTAACACTTCACATACATACATTAGGAGGAAATTAACAGTAGAAGGTACGAAGAGATGAGTCCCTGAGCCAGAGCCACATGTCATCCACAAATCTCATTAAAAGACAGAGAACAGCAGCACGGTTAGTCGGTTAAACTTTTACCGTAGAACGAAGTTTTCAGATTTGAGCGATTGTTCATCGTCGAATTTTCTACGACTGAAGTGCCATTTCCCTCTTGAGAAATCAACCATCGATAATCCACAAGATGGAAACCCCTTAGATGAATAGATTTTATGTTAAAAAAAAGTGGTGACTGATATTAAGAAGTAGGAGTCCAAAGCAACCATGATAAACAAGATCTCTATCCTACTAATGAAGGAAATTACCTGTGTGAAAGCTCTGGGATCTTGAAATGAGATCAGTAAGAGCAGAAATCCATTTTTCCTTATCTTGTTCAGACAAAGCTTTCAAGTGGTGTTTCCTACCTGAGCTCTCAACCAAAATGAAGGATGTTTGAGAGTCTGGTGCAGATATGTGTGCATTTGATAAGTTAAATGTTCCACGACAATGTCTTCCAACAGCATCTGGTCCTCTTGAATACTAAATGCGACAAACATATTTCATTTACCTGTAATAACTCAGTAAATTATCCTGAATAAGGAACCAGCGTTTTTTGTAGCCTTTTATCAAGTTAGTCCACTTGAAAAGCCATCCCGAAAATGGTTCTACGGCATTCATTATCGCAAAAACATTATCAAAAGTTGAAGAACGTAGAACCACGGAGTAGCGCAGTAGTTGGTGTAACGCGGTAAAAATTGAGATGCTTTCAGTGAAAAGCATAATTTATTACTCTAATAACACCCTGGCTACAAATAACCTGTTTCCTTCAAATGGTTACAATATTCCATCTGGCTCTGCTATACACAAAGTGACAAAATATACCCATTTATTCATGGAGAAGAAGAAGACATATATCAGAGAAGAAATATTTCTTTTCGATAACTTCGTTATCAAGCTGTACGGTCGTATTTATGCCCAGCAAAATGACAGATAATTGCACTAAAAAGGAGTTTATTAAATATGGAGAATATGCATGAGGTGTAGGTCGTAGTATTTCTTCCAGTGGCAGAAATAGAAAATGGGTCATGGAATAAGGAACGAATTGATAACGAGTGGTAAGTTAGGAGACTCATGATATCAAATTATTGTATAACAGTGGTATTTTAGCTGAAACGTACAAAATAGGTCAACGAATGAAGGATGAATCGATATTAAATGACTAAACATGGGTCAAATGTTGTCAGTGAAGTGAAAAATTGATAATAATGATGATAAAAGAGAAGTATACCAAAGTAAAGTGAAGTGAAATAGACAAAGTCACCAAAGTGAACTGTAGAGAAGGTGGCTTCAGAAAACGTTCCTGGGATGCAAAGTTTCTGTTTTTGTTCATGTATGGTTGGTGTCTCAGCTACGCATTAGTGATGGAAATGTAAACCTTTGGAGTAGTTCAATTTAACTTCGTGGATTACTTTAAAGGATGAATCTTGAGGTGCTGAATGAACTTATTCAAACAGGCTTTTGCATATGGATGAACTGGTTTTCATTTGCTCTTCTTCGGTAAGCCAAACCGGATAATGTTCAGCTACACGTTTTCAAGGAGCCTGCTAATAAAGTGACGAATGCTTTAGATGAGACAATCTAATTCTAGTTAATTCCGTTTCGGGAAACTACAGTAAAATCATACGTGACATATTAGTGCCACTGCAATGAAGATAGACAGATTCCAGTTGTTTACTGCCCGCTTCCTACGGGCAGCTGGTGATTACTGTGAATACCCCTTTGAGTGCTACCTATTACAGAACCGGCAAGTCTACAAAATACCAGCTAAACTTTTGCTGCAATCGGTCGAAAAGCGAGCAACTTGCTGTAGAATCTCGCATCTCCTAAGAAGTGTGCCTCTGTATCTTATGAAAATATCAGGAGCCTTTTCAAGGGTCTTTTTCGTGATACATGATTTGGAAGCCACAAGAAAACTTGATTTTATTGGCCTATGTTCTTGATCAAAAGATTTGACACTTTGCTCTCCAACTACAAACAGTAATGCACTGGGTTGTGTGAACACACAACAACAATCATTATTCGTCGATGTGCTTGGAATTCTTGTCGGATCGAATCGATTGACCACTGCTAGCCACAACCTTGCAAACTGCCGCATAATGGCTTTCATCATTATGGTTCCGCCACTTGAGCAGCTGGTCCAAAAGATTCCTATGCATTTCAAAATGCCAAGGCTTCATTCATCACCTGCGCAGACGTAGGCAGTGATTTTCCAGCCACACGCCCTTGATAGGAAGTACCCCATACGCTTCACCAACGTCCCCAGGCTAAATGGCATCAAATCGCGTTATCCACACGGAACATTTCACTTCCAAGACACTTACCAACAATAATAATATTTGTTCCTAAATATGCTGCCACACACCAGTTTTACAGGTATGAATAAGTTTATGCATAAATTACATGCATCTTCATGGAAGATAATCTCAATCCCCACCCATTGCCACTAGAAGATTTAAGTGCTGAATGTTCATACATGAAACATCCAGCAGAATAAGCGCGCAAAATTTACAAGTTGTACAAGTGGAAGTATCGTCTTCGCATCACCAAAAAGCCAGGTTTGTATCTAGACATCACACGTATTACCCGGAGAAAAATAAAGCTTGAAGCTAATACTTCCATTGTAACAGTTTGTACTTTTGCTTCAAATAATGATGAAAAGTTTATGAGTGAATGTATGCACTTGGTTGGTGATTCCAGGGATGTATAATTCATGCATGTCAATACCATTCCACGATCAAAATTCATAATCCTGATGAATATTACCACTGAGAGCCAAATATCCTCTCTTTTCCAACTCCGGCTGCCAGAAGCAATGGATTTGTTTGAATGCACCAAATGGAATCTTAGGACATCTTGTCCTCCGCTTCCACGGGTCGTGACAGCCTTGCGGTTGACAAGTGCTGGACTTTCCTGGCCCCTATTATGATGACCAAATCTTAGATTTTGATAATTGTAAAGTTGTAGTCCAGTGAACAATTTTTACTTCTGATTGTCGCAGGTATGTATTTTGAACGCAGTAAAGCTGGCTACCGTCCACGGAGGCTGAATTCAGCCATGTTTTGTTCCTTAGGCAAGTAATTCTCGATGACGACCAAGCCAACGCTTAGAACCGAATTACTTTTCTACAATGAGAAAAAAACAGACAAAGTGGCAAGCAGAGGAAGCAAGAATTCCAACAAGGAGATTGTTTTCTATGTTCACGTTTTTCCCTACTTGACTTTCCTTGCTGTGGCATTCTTTGTATGCGCTTTTTCTGCAGAGTACTCAAAAATATAAATTCCGTGCTGCCATATACATGAGCGCGATTAATCTTACTACCGATGGTTTGCTAAGGACAGACCTTGCGTTTATGAGAATGATGTGCAAGTGAAAGCAGCAATAATGTGTAAAGCTTCCTTATTCGCTAAACAGGCCAGTGTCGCTTGACTGAGTATAGTCTGACGTCGTTGCGTTACAAAACGTCTCTACACCTTTCTCACTCGTAGTTGTGGAGTTGCTAGGATATCCTAGTGGTAAATCGACCGCTTAGTGACTTGAAATAGTGTCATCCTTGTCAGGCGAGAACGAAGCAATGTTTTCATTTGAGGCGTTCAGTGCGCACATCGTATCCAAATAGACATAGTTTGACCCCATGCAAGCGTCGTCTCTAGCATCTGTTTCACAGAGGGTATGTAGTTTTACTACTGTACTTGGTGGGTGTGTACGGCTAGTGATGCCACTTAGAGGATTCAATAGACCTGTTGTGCTTTCGCATCTGTTGACGCCACTTGGGTAGTTGGTATCTACGATTTGTGCGTATGGTTGACTGTCCTTTTTGTTGCTCCGAGGGCGCTAAGGTTAGTGGTCCAGAGTAAGGGGTATCAACACCTCCATCAGTTGTTTGGCTAAGGCTGCAGCAAATAGGGATGTTATGGGTAAAAAATCATCTTGCTTTTTTGTGGTCCATGTAAACCTCTGTTCTGCTTTGTATTCCTTACCAGTGACTGCCTCCTGTTACAATTCACAACGTACGTAACTGGCGTTGTGTTGGATAGGGGTCTGTTCTCTAGTAAGCTAGTGCCATGCAGGTGGTCAAAGCTCTTCCTCATAAAGTACCCCGCTGACGTTCCATTATAGGCGGTTTGTGTTGGCTCTTCCGAATAGTAAACAATAAGGTTGGGTTGTTGTGACGTATATTTTTGTTCTTGTTTCAAGCGTGACGTAGCTCCGCGCAAACAGCCTTCTTGGTGGGGCTACTGTTCGCACTTCTATCGACTCCAGAAGGGACTACGGGATCATTTCGGATCATTATACACGTATTGGGTTCCATGGGAGCATTGGTTTATCTGTTGCATATAGAGCGGCGGATGTCCTAGGACCTAGGCTGGTGTGGGTTGTAGATTTTAGGCCTGCAGCAGACCTCGGTGGTAGTTCTGTGGCGTTTAGTGCAGTGTCAGGTTTTATTTTGGGCCTTTCTGTGGATATGTCTACATCTACAGTTTTAGGTGGTTGAGTCAAATCAAGCATTTTGCAGTTTCCCGTCTCCACGCTGATCGATGGCGTTTTCCGTATATTTGTCTCTACAGGGTTTGGGAAAGACAAGTCTTAGGCTTGACTATGCTGGAGGAGATACCTCCTGCTTTAGTATGTTGCAGAGTTGAAGCCTTTTGGCTGTCAGGTCTATGAGCACAGTTGTGTACCTGCCTTTCTACCACTGTCTTACCAAGAACTATCTTTACCCCTGTAAATACGTTTTCTGCTACGATAGACTCCGCTTTGATGAATGCTTCCGCTTCTATCTATGATTCGAACTGATAGTGTATCTGACAGCAATGGTCCTGCTGGCTCTTTTGCGGTCGAAAACATTTGCATGGATATCCCTCACTTTCGCTGTTCTAAGCAAAATTTCTCGCACCGCCTTCAACTTTGCTGTGTCAGGAACGTTACGAACAATTGCGTTCAATCTAAGTGCAAGTCTCCCACTTATGTAGCGTCACACACTTCCCCAAAATCAATAGCCTAGGGTTTGACGACTTTCGACATTGATGCTGACCTTGATAGTTTAACTGGACTCACTAAGCTGAAGGCACCCGGTCAAGCATCCTCGCCATTTGGCACGCTGTCGTGTTACGTTGCACTGCCCGTACTCGGCTCTCTAGCCAGTTGGTTGGAACGCAGTGGTATTTTGGAGCAGCCATCCAAATATACTGTTCCATCCGACTACGCTATCGTGTTCTTGCTTGGTCTCGTACTCGTGGGTATATGGCAAGTCCGAATAATTAGTGATTGGTCTTTGCGTCTGTCATGTTCGCACCAGGACAAATCCTAAATTGGTGAGCCCAACGTGATCACATATCCCGACCAATAACTAATATTGAATCGGTGAGCCTGTTCCATTTTATACTTGTATATCGTTTTCACTGCGATAACATTTATATATCCATTTACTACGCTTGCCCATGTCCTACCACACTTCCAGGCTTAGTCGTATTAGGCCAACTACGAGCACTATCCAACTCCTGCCATATTGGCCAGACAATGCGGAAACATGGTTTCTGTACGCTGAGGCAGATTTTCGAGAACAGGGCGTCTCAGATCCTCATTCTCGATTTCTTGCTGCCATACGGTCACTACCGCGGGAATTAAATAGACATGTTACGGAGCACATGTTTAATCCCGAAGTAAGTGATCCTTACGCACTTCTCAAGGCCGCACTCT